ATTTAACCAATTCTTTGGGTCTTCATTTTCTTATGAAGTCTCCTATGTCATACAACTTATACTAAATAAATTTGCTTGCCTTTTAATTATTAATCTGTCTTTGTTACAATAGCCCAGAAAAGAACTTAGAAGGGTAGAAGTAACGATGTCCCCCACCAAGTCTCTATGTAAAATTATTTTCAGAAGAGATGAAAGAAACATTTGGGTGGCAATAAAGCCTATGATATCCCTTAGTCAGAGAGGCAAATTTGAGGCAGCTTTTCCTGTCTCCTGACAAGACATCTGCAGTATTAAAGATTCCGTTCTTCCTTGGCAATCCTCAGTGTCTTGCTAATTGGATTTTGTGCAACAACTGAACCTAGACCTAAACCCCCTTGTGGTTTCAACAACAGACAGAACAGAAGTTTTCCCTTTACTCCACAATCTTATTCAGAATTCCTTTTTCTCAACTTACTTTTCCACATTCATGATTAATTTCTTTCTCTCCATGTCCTTGGAAAACTTAATACCAATATTAAATCAATCATTTTTGTCATTCTTATTCTGTGTTAGTTATTGATAAAACTTGGTGAATTTCTCCATGAATCCAAATATTGTTTTTCAGCACACAGGAAGTTTTTGGGTTCTCAAAATTTTTATATATGCATATATAATGCATCCATCATATGTAAGATGTATTTTTTATATATAATACATTTTCTACTACTGTGGTATAATAAAGAATTTGGCCTTTGTCTATGATTCTTGAAAAGGAGACACTGAATCCTTGAAATTTCCCTAGTAATAAGAATGTTGAGTGTACTTACAGCCCCAGCTCCTCAGGAGGCTGAGGTGGGAGGATCCCTTAAGCTCAGAGTTGAAATCCAGGCTGAGCAACATAGTGAGACCCTGTCTCAAAAAAAAGTCTTTGTTATTCATGAGACCCTTGTTTTACACCTGCATTTTTGATAAGAAATTAGATGACTCAGGATGGGGGCTGATCATCAGTGTCAATGGAAAAAAGCCAAATTCTGTAAAATAATTTTAAAGAGATTTATTCTGAGCCAAATTTGAGGTCCAAATTTGGAGCCAAATTTGGACAAGTGAACTCGTTGTGGCTAGGTTACAGTTTGGTTTTTATACATTTCAGAGATGGGTTACAGGTAAAGCTATCAATCAATACATGAGAGGCATACATTGGTTTGGCCCAAAAAGGTGGGACATCTCAAAGCAGAGAGGGGGGGGAGGAGGGAAGGGGGTCTTACAGGGTATAAGTGGGTTTAAAGATTCTTTGGATTGTAATTGGCTAAAGCCATGAAGCTTTGTCTAAAGGCTTGGAATGTTTTAACATAAACTGTTTACCAGAGATAAGCCACCATTTGTTGCATAAAGGTTTGTCTTGCATACCCGTAGGCAGGCCACTGGTACTTCTGAGCAACTGGCTCCAAATTCAAGGATTTCTACTACTATCTGAGATTTGATAATTTGCTAGAATGACTCACAGAGTACCCAAAAGTGCTACACTTATGATTATAATTTTATCATAAAGGATGCATTCAGGACCAGTCAAATGAAGAGACTTATAGGGCAAGGCCTGGAAGGATCCTGAAAGCAGAACAGACCCCTTCCCATGGAGTCAGAGGTCACCTCCCTAGCACATCTATGCATTTGCCAACCAATAAATGTACGGATCTTCGTGTCAAGTTTTTATGGGGCTTTCATTATGTAGGTGTGATTGACTGAATCATTGGCCATGTGACTGAACTCAATCTCCAAACTCCTTGAAGGTTGTTCTCACTCAGAGCCCCTGACTTCTTAATCACATGGTTGGGGTGGTCTTCCAGGTGTGAACTAAAATGCTCACCCCCCCACCGGTGGACAGAATGGACCCCCTCGTGGCCAAAGGAATATCCTAAAGCAAAATTGCCTGCCAGGAAGAGGGAGGTCAGACATGCCTTATAATGCCCACCTCCCTTCTTGGAGACTTCCTTTGTAACCCTTTAACAGGCCTAAGGGTATGTAAGACAAACCTTTAAGCAACAAATGGTGGCTTATCTCTGGTAAGCAGTTTATGTTAAAACATTCCAAGCCTTAGACAAAGCTTCATATCTTTAGCCAATTACAATCCAAAGAATCTTTAAACCCACCTATAACCTGTAAGCCCCCATTCGAGATTGCCCAAACCAATGTATGCCTCTCATGTATTGATTGATGGCTTTACCTGTAACTCATCTCTGAAATGTATAAAAACCAACTGTAACCCAGCCACGAGTCCACTTGCCCAAGGCCTCTTGGCAGTGGCTCCAGGTGATGGGCCTCAAATTTGGCTCAGAATAAATCTCTCTAAAATTATTTTGCAGAGTTACGCTTTTTTCCATTGACATCTTGAAGGGATAATGACCTTGCTGGTCGTAGGTGGATTCAGAGATTCTCTATTAGCTAAAAAAGACGTTGCAGTTCTGAGGTGGGCGTGACTCTCTCCAGGCCCCTGAGGTAGAAACAGAACAAAGAAAGGAGACTAGAGTTCAATTCCTTAGTTCTCCCTTATCTACATTTTCTAGCTGGTGGAGGTTTCTGAAAAACAACTCAAGAACATATGTTAAGATGTCTTTTAATTTCCATGGGGAACTAAAACATCTCATAGTGCAGGCTTGGTTAGAGGACTATTGTTATTACCATCTTCTTGGTCATCAGATTGTCTACTTACTTCGCAAGGCTAGCTAAGCTGCCCGGATTTTCCCTTGAGGACCATCAACCAGAGCCACTGCCAAGAGCCCTTGGGCAAGTGAACTCCATGTGGCTGGGTTAGAGTTTGGTTTTTATACATTTCAGGAACAAGGGGGTGGGGGGGTGTTACAGGTAAAGTCATCAATCAATATGTGGGAGGCATACATTCGTTTGACCAAAAAGGGCAAGAGATCTTGAAGGGGCGGGCTTACAGGTTATAGGTGGGTTTAAAGATTCTTTGGCTTGTAATTGGTTAAAGACATAAAGCTTTGTTTAAAGACTTGGAATGTTTTAACATAAGAAGCTGTTATCAGAGATAAGCCACCTGACATAGATTTGTTGTGTAAATTGAGGACCTGCAGGTTTGTCTTGCATACCCATTTAGACCTGTTAAAGGGTTACAAAGGAAGTCCCCAAGAAGGGAGGGGGGCATAATAAGGCATGTCCGACCAATTTTGCTTTAGGATATTCCTTTAGCCACAAGGGGGCCATTCAGTCAGCCGGTGGGAGGGTGAGCATTTTAGTTCACATATTTTATAATACTATCCCTTAATTAACTACTTTACTTTTTGAGTTGTTTCCCAGAAATGATAGATTTTCTGCAAGACAGAGGAGTTAAGTTTTGAAGGCCCCAGGGCAAACTTCCTAGTGCCAGCACTCACCATGTCCCTGGACCTGTCCCAAGGTACATGGCCCCTTCTTAAAAAGCCCATAGCTCCATTACTAAGAGAGATGGATTTGAAGCAGCTTCTCCCATTCTTCCAACAAGATGTGTGTCATATTAAAAAATTTTTCTTCATTGACAATCCTCGTTGTCTCAGGGGATCTTTGTGCGACAAGTAACTAGACTGCGACCAAAACCCCCTTGTAGTTTCAACAACATTATCTTCCCTAGGTTTTCATTAACTGAACCCATATCGCAAGAAAAAAGACTAAAGTTTCAACAAACCGGGACAAACTTGTCATAAACCATTGTCTGCTCTATGAGCAGAAGAGACTGTTTTGGTCCATTGTATGTTCTTCAAGCCCATTGAATTCTTCTAAAAATCATCTACTACCTCCTAAAATTATCCATACTTCTCTGTCTTCCTTTCCCCTAAGAAAGGTATATAACCATCTGTACCTCATTGTGTGGGGATCTGGAGAGGTAATCATTGTAATCCTCCCCTGTTCACGTTAATAAATTTGTATATCTTTTCTACTATTAATTTGCATTGTGTGAGTTGATTTTTTCAGCAAACCTTCAGAGAGCAAAAAGAAAGTTTTTCATTGGTCCCTACAGTTTCAATATTCAATTAATTAAAAGTTAAAGTTGGGAATTATTTTAAAATGCTTCATACTTTAAACCTTTTATTCTTACTTAATCCATGAATGTTTATATTCCTTTGTCAGTTTTTTTTTTTTTTTTTTGGAGACAGAGTCTTGCTTTGTTGGCTGGGCTAGAGTGAGTGCCATGGCGTCAGCCTAGCTCACAGCAACCTCAAACTCCTGGGCTCAAGTAATCCTGCTGCCTCAGCCTCCGGAGTAGCTGGGACTACAGGTATGCGCTACCATGCCCGGCTAATTGTTTCTATATATATTAGTTGGCCAATTAATTTCTTTTCCATTTATACTAGAGACAGGGTCTCGCTCTTGCTCAGGCTGGTTTTGAACTCCTGACCTTGAGCAATCCGCCCGCCTCGGCCTCCCAGAGAGCTAGGATTACAGGCGTGAGCCACTGCACCCGGCCTCTTTGTCAGTTTTTTAATGATAATTTACTGAATGAAGTCCTAAATTAGAACTTCCTAGGATCAACCACACACAAAAGTGTTATAAAATGTTTTTCAGATAGAACTTCTTTAAAGAAGCAGGAGAATTTAGGGCCGGGCATGGGGGGGCATGGTGGCTCACACCTGTAATCCTAGCACTCAGGGAGGCTGAGGTGGGAGGATCGCTCAAGGTCAGGAGTTTGAAACCAGCCTGAGCAAGAGTGAGACCCTGTCTCTACTAAAAATAGAAAGAAATTATCTGGACAACTAAAAATATACAGAAAAAATTAGCCGGGCATGGTGGCGCATGCCTGTAGTCCCAGCTACTTGGGAGGCTGAGGCAGAAGGATTGCTTGAGCCTAGGTGTTTGAGGGTGCTGTGAACTAGGCTGATGCCAGGGCACTCTAGCTGGGGCAACAGAGTGAGACTCAGTCCCCCCCCCCAAAAAAAAAAAAGAAGCATGAGAATTTAAAGGCACTGGGAAAGCAATCTGATTACCTTACATCCCTATATGAGTTTTCTCACAATTTTTAAAATCAATTTACATCTAATTAGAATATTTCTAAGAATTCAGGTACAGCATGTCTATAGAACATTAACTAGGCATTCATAGTAATAGCAATTATTTTTTCTAACTCATTTCCTTTCATCTACATGGTATTTTATACAATTATAGTAACAAAAGTAGTGAAGTTTTTTTGGGAATTAACATAGCACTGAAGGTTAACATATGGTTTAACAAAAGTAAATTAATTTACATCAGGCTACTTGCAGGGACTTTCAGTTCCCATGGCAACACTCAGTATATTTCACAAAGGAAATGAGAAGCATTGATTAAAGCAATAATTTGGGTAAGTCAAAGTCAGATAAAAGGGGTTTTACTGTAAAATTTCATAAAACAGAGCAACCATTTTTTTACATTTTAATGAGTATTTCTCTATGAATACATAATTTTATATACCATTCATGCTCCTTATATACCACCCCACTCAGCAACATGTTGTGAAGATATTTTCTTGTCAAAGAATAATGATGTACACAGACTTATTTGGGAAATATGGTGTACTGGTTACAAACATAGACTCTAGACCCAGACGTCCTGGCAGAGATGCTACCTCAATGTGTGTGCTTAAGCAAGTTACTGAAATGTTTTGGCCCTCAGTGTTTGCATGAAGATAGGTTTAATAAGATAGTTGGAAATTAAATAATTTATTAAATGTAAAGCCCTTAGAACAGTGCTTTATTAATAATAAAAATAGCTACTTATTAAAATTTAGCAATTGTACAAATTTTCTAAATTGTTACATTGGGATCTCTTCCCAGGTAAATTCTCTCTCCTCTCCTCCCTCTCTTGAAAAAACTCAAGAAAATCACATGGACTTTGACAGTGACATATTAAACAATTAGGATGAAGTTTATATTGAGGCATTAATGTGATTAATGCAAGTATATGTTAGTATAAACATCATCTCCAAGGATAATAGAAATAATACACTCTGGTTTATTATTGAACTAAAAAGAACACATAGCTTTGCCAAGAGTTGGTTCATTTACTTCTAATGATAAAAATCCAAAGGACATTTTAAGAGGAAACAATTGAATAAACAAGTTTAATGATATTATTTGGATAGTCTAGTATCATATAATCCTATCTGAGTCCTATGACTATCCCACTGTGAGCCAAGCACAACTCCTCCCTGAACCTTGGGAATTGTCAGCATCACCTGAGTGTGCTCAAGAACCTTGCCCTTCTTGGCCCTGCTCTTCCACTAATGGAACCTCTCATTTCAGAAAGCCCTTATTAATCGTTGAGGGAGGCAATGCTGTCTTTATCCTTCCTCTGTGAAAGATTTCTCGTTAGTTTGTTCTTCATGTTGGCATTATGCATACAGTATTATCCTTCTACTCAAGGAGCAGGTAAGTTTAGGATTTAATGTTTGAGAAACTTCTGAAAGTGAGGCTCTAGGGGTATGATCCACTCTCATTTTGTATACTAATTGTCCCGTCTGGGCTGTCTGAGCTTTTTTCCACTTCAAGCTGCCATTTAGTTTATTTCCTCATGTAATTTGCTGACCCTCCATTTCCTCATCTGTAAGGTGGGAATAATAGTAGAGCCTACCTCATAAGACCACTGAGATAATTAAATGAGTTAATATAAGTAAAAGAATTTTAATATAATCTATCACATAATATGCCCTCAATAAATGTTAAGTCATTTCATTATTATCACTAGAGAATAACAGTCTGCTACACAAATTGCTCTACTCAACAAGGGGATATATAGGGCAGTTGGAAAGTGAATGCCTCTGAAGCACGAGGCCTTAGGCTAGAGCCCCATATTCTTTAATTTTTTTTCCCACTAACATATGGTTCTCAGTATGAGGTCAGACTTTATTCATAGGTTTAAACACATGAAACCACCATTTCTATAGATCAAATCCAATCAAATATTGGCAATTACATGTGATTCAATTTAATAATTTACTTACTGCCATATTGACAGGACTTCAAACAGTGCCTGGCTCATAGTAGATGAGCAATAAATATTTGTTGACTGGATGAACTGGGCAAATCCCATTTCCTACCAAACTCCCCTTCTGAAATCCCTTTTTTGAACTCTTAGTTGCAGAAGTTGAAACCTAGATATCATTCCAGGTTTGCCCTTTTTCTCTCTCCTTCCCCTTTCAGTCAGTCTGCAGCAAGCTCTGCCCTTTCTGCCTCCTTTATTCCTTAAATTCCCCTTTCTCCACCTCCTACTTCTGTTTCTGACTGTTGCCCCTGCCTTAGTTTGGTCCCTCACTTGCTGGCTGGCATTTTCAACCTCTCAAACTTAGAACTCACTTCCTTCCAATCTACTTTCAATTGAACCACCAGAAGAATGAATCTGAAAAACACATTTTACAAAATTTTAAAATTCTGCCTAGAATCTACATTTTCCTGGTAGAGAAGGTATACAGAGCCCCTCGGGATCTTTTTTTTAAAGCCTCCTCTGAATTACCTTGCCACATTTATCTCCAGCCATTTCAGCCTTCAGCAACTCTAAAAATCTCCTCCACTTTACCGGGTGCTCAGACTTCTCTGCCCAGAGCACCTTCCCTCCCCCACCGCATTGGCTTTTACAACAAGCCCTGAAGACTTGGAAAACTTCAAACTTCCCAGTAAGGCTGGTTTCATTTTTCTCTTTTCCCAGTTCCTCTTTGGAGTCCTTATTTGCTTAACTGTTTCCTTCCTTTCAAAATACTGATTTTTTCAATTATAGGAATTTTTCATAGTACATATTAGGCACTCAAGATCAGTTTGCAGAATAAATATTAACATGAATAAGGGAAGAAGAGTAGATGGATTGAATAAACAAATTTCATGGTTTACCTTTTTAAAAAGTGTACTGGTGACACTTGTCCTTCCTTTGTAACCCACATTTACTAATTCCCTATTCGAGCAAAAATATAACAGTAGTTCTTCTGTGTTCCTGCAGGTAGTGGTGCAGCACAGTCCCCAAACCAGACATGCCTTTAATTTTGGCTTCCCCTATCTTCAGAACACCAGGTTTTCCTGCCAACAGAGAAAAGAAAAGGCACACACTGCTTTACTGTTATTTCAAAGGGAGCTGAAGAGGTGAAAGAAAAGAAGTTTGAAGTTTTCCAAGGTTTCATTCTTACCCTGATACAAAAAAGTACTCAGGTTTATTTCTCAAAACATGCTATTTATTAGAGCATGACTAATAGCCGTTTAATCCTTTTAACAATTCTTACAATTTTACGGATGAGGGTTAAGCGGTGGAGACCAGGGTACAAGTAAACCTCATGGAGAGACAAGATAAGAACCTAGAAAAGGACAGCTAATCGAAACTATGCTGCTTTATGACTTTAAATCACCAAGTCTTAAGTCAGCACTATAAACTTAAAGGTTATCTTACTAGTAGACTATTAATTTTAGGTTCAAAGAGATACAGGGGGTTGTGGGCCTGATGAAGCTTGGGGAGCGAACAGACACACTGGCTCTCCTGTTAGCTAAGATTTACAATTTCTGGATCCAGCTCCAAATGTTTGCCCGGATTACAGTCAATAGTGAGCGTCTGTCTCTCCATAGATAACTTGAAAGGGAACTCCAGGAACTATTGGGACGCTCTAGATACTTGCAGTACACCGTGGCATTTTCAATATTGTCTCAGCTAAAGCAGAGAACAGAACGTTATTTGCATTATTAGTCCTTCTGGAAACACACGAAATTTGTGATACCAATAGGGCAACTGCAGCTTAAAAATGCCAAAAATACATGAAGGAACTCCCAAAGGGTACTAGAAGGCACAGAATGTTTTACCAAAAACCAATTTGAATTACACATTCGAGTATTATAAAATGGCCACTTGCACTTTTGACTAATGGAGAATTAAAAGTGAATTGGCTTTTTGAGAAAACGTGGACGGCTCTGAAAAGAGCCTTCGGGACGTGGGACAGGATGGGTCCATACCTCTGCAGCAGGGGCTCATTTAGAGCTGGTGTACTTGGTGACTACCTTGGTGCCCTCTGAAGCCGCGTGCTTGGCCAGCTCTCCCGGCAGCAGCAGGCGCACCGCCGTCTGGATCTCCCTGGAGGTGATGGTCGAGCGCTTGTTGTAATGCGCCAGGCGAGAGGCCTCGCCCGCGATGCGCTCGAAGATGTCGTTGACGAACGAGTTCATGATGCCCATGGCCTTGGACGAGATGCAGGTGTCTGAGTTGACGTGCTTCAGCACTTTGTACAAGTACACGGAGTAACTTTCCTTGCGGCTGTGCTTGCACTTCTTGCCATCCTTTCGTGCATTATTGATGGTTTTCTTTGACCCCCTTTTAGGAACAGGAACTGACTTGGTCGGTTCAGGCACAGTGAGAAAACACAGGACACTAAAGGAAAACACAAGCCACAGACTAGATGTGGTCTCCTTATTTAAAGGTGGTTATGCAAATTAGGAATAGTAAAGGTTTCTGGTGATTGGTGGTTTTGCCCCAATCAAAATACATATCCTGCATAATCATGTTCCATTGGTCTAAATGAAAATCAAATATCAGCCAATCACACAGCTCCCTTTTCGCGCCCAGCAGAGGCTATAAAATCTGCGTCTTTCCAGTTCCTTTTCAGTCTCTATCGGTAACAACTGCAGACCTCTTAGCATGTCTGGCCGCGGCAAGCAGGGAGGCAAAGCTCGCGCCAAAGCGAAGACCCGCTCTTCCCGGGCCGGCCTTCAGTTCCCCGTGGGTCGAGTGCACCGTCTGCTCCGCAAGGGCAACTATGCCGAGCGGGTCGGAGCCGGCGCCCCGGTGTACCTGGCGGCGGTGCTGGAGTACCTGACCGCCGAGATCCTGGAGCTGGCGGGCAACGCGGCTCGCGACAACAAGAAGACGCGCATCATCCCGCGCCACCTGCAGCTGGCCATCCGCAACGACGAGGAGCTCAACAAGCTGCTGGGCAAAGTCACCATCGCTCAGGGCGGCGTCCTGCCCAACATCCAGGCCGTGCTGCTGCCCAAGAAGACCGAGAGCCACCATAAGGCCAAGTAAAGACCAAATTTGGAAACGCCGAGAAACAAAGGCTCTTTTCAGAGCCACTTACATGGTCACAAAAAGGTGGCACGGTTTACTGCGTTTCTAACCGCTAAATCTCTTCACTACACTGACACTTAGCCTTAAACCCTAACCTTATTTTCCATTTTCATATTGCCAAGGTAAACGTTCCTTTAGTCTCTTTTGTAGATGTCTGCAAGGAGCCTTATGCTAAGACGTTGAAGCTTAATTGATACAGGGCTTTCCTAAATGCATTGCAATTTCTAAATCATTTATATTGAGTTTCCAAGAACATGCAATTTATGTGAAATGTCGAAATGGGAATTATGTAGATCCACATGTGCAAATTAGCTGTGGGTGGCTTAAGTGATAAATTTTACTATAAAATAGCATTTTGTTGGCAGGACACAGTAGTGTAGTGGTTTCCATTTGTGGCTCAGGGGAACCCTTTGGGATATAGCAATTTCACTTTTTTTTTTTGAGTCACAATCTCTGTAGTCAGGGCTAGAGTGCCATGGCGTAGGCCTAACTCACAGCAACATCAAACTCCTGGGCTAAAATGAACCTCCTGCCTCAGCCTCCCAAGTAGCTGGGAGTACAGGCGCGTGCCACCAGACCCAACTAATTTTTTTCTATTTTTAGTAAAGACTGGTGTCTCGCTCTTGCTCAGGCTGGTCTCCAACTCCTGACCTCAAGCAATCCTCCAGCCCAGAATGTTAGGGTTACACTTTTAACCTTAGTTTTATAGGATATTTTTTGTTAATATGCTTACTAGAAGTAGTAAAGTATAATTCTACTTAACAGTACATTTCTTTTTTTCTTTTTTTTTTCGAGACAGCATCTCGCTTTGTTGCCCAGGCTAGAGTGAATGCGGTGGGTCAGCCTAGCTCACAACAACCTCAAATTCCTGGGCTCAAGCAATCCTCCTGCCTCAGCCTCCTGAGTAGCTGGGACTACAGGCATGTGCCACCATGCCCGGCTAATTGTTTCTATATATATTAAATATTAGTTGGCCGATTAATTTCTTTCTATTTATAATAGAGATGGGGTCTTGCTCTTGCTCAGGCTGGTTTCAAACTCCTGACCTTGAGCAATCTGCCTACCTCAGCCTCCCAGAGTGCTAGGATTACAGGCATGAGCCACCAGGCCCCGCCAACAGTACATTGCTTTATATGTTTGTCTCAGTAGACTAAAGTGAGGGCAGAGCCCTTAGCCCTATTTTCTAACCTAGTAAAAGAGGCACTCTGTGCTTATGTTTATAAATAAAAACATGTAGTACATGTTTATGAATGTATACATTGGTTATACATTTTTTAAATTTCTGCACTTACAGGAGTTTGGAATAAAAAAGAAAACTGGCCTTAGGAGCCTTCAGAATAAGGGTTTTTCAAATATATATATACATGTTATGCAGTGACCAAGTTACCACATGTTAGTGTGTTACTGAAATAAAATTTTACAAAATAATAGTTACCTTTATTGTATAAGTTGTGTTCTGATATTTTCTTGTTCAATTCTGCATGATCTTTGTAGTTAAACTTTTTGTACCTGGATTTTCTCATTTTCCAAATCTATCCCACAAACATTGTTATGATTAGAAATGTTGCTTAGTATACTGTAAATGAGTTAAATAGTTGCTTAGTATACTAAATAGCTACTTAGTATGCTAAGTAGCTGGCCAAGCATAGTAAATAGTACAAGCTTGTGATGATGATAAAAATGTTGCTTCTGGCTGCTATTAAGATGATTCCAAAAGCACTAATGGGTAGACACCAACAGTTGGAAAAAAATATAGTCTCTTCTGAAAAGCCAAAGGCCAATTTGAGAATACAGGAGGTCAAAGATCTTCATGTTGGCCATATCTCCATATGGGCATATCAAGGTCCTTTTAGTCTGGGCCTTGAAAAGGACTTGAACATTTATGCCACTTACCAGTTTTAACATCTCAGGAAATTCAGGCACAAAAACCATTTCTTTGTCCTCTTTTGTAAGATTCTAATGTTCTTATTCTTTTAAAAAATATTTATTTCATACTTAAGTGCCATGCATTAAAGATACAGCATTAATAAGACAATGCCTGTCTTAAAGAAACACAATATGTTTGGGAGAAACATGTTGGGAGAAACACAAAAACACATAAAACACAACATAGCAAGAACAACTATGGAAGTAAGCACAGGGAATCAGAAGAGCATATAGGAAGAGTAAAACCTGTGGGAGGCAACATCAGATCTAAAGGCTAGAGTGAATTAGCAATTGGAAAGTATGAGGATCCAGCAGAGAATGAGCATCATCAGAGACGCATGGTTTGGGATATGTGCAAGCAAATGACATGAAGTCTGATATTGGAAATGACACATAGATTACAAGAGACAAGCTAAAGCCAGAAGGGACTTGTAGTCCACTCCCTTAGTTTTAAATACCCTTTATATGCTAATGATTCCCAAATCTTTATGTGCATCCCTGATTTATCTCCTGAGTTCTACATATGCATATTCATCTATCTTTTGAAATAATTGTAGATCTCTAGGAAATGCAAAATACATATCCTAGACTGATCATCATCATCAATTCTCTTAGTGATCCTTGTCTTAGTTAAGTGGCATCACCATCTACCCATTAGCATAAGCCAAATTGATCTGTTGTCATTGAGTATTCATTTTTATGTGCCATTACTATAGCAAAACTCAATTTCTGTACAGGGAGATGAAAGCATGGTCACACCTCAGAAAGAGCTTCACCAGAAGGCTACCAGACTATTGTAGTTGAGCACATGGAATGTTTTGGGAGACAGAGTTTCTGTGTCATATAATTGAAACTACTCCCTGCCCCTGAATAAATAATTCTTTTTGTAATGAGAACTGAAAAGTTAACTGGAAGAAGTATATTGACTACATATCTTCAGAAAAGGATGCCCTACCTAACCAGCAAGAGGATTGGATCACTGCAGACCAGGCAACCTTTGCATGGGATCTTCCTAATTTATTAACAGCTTTAAGTTTCCTTACACACTCAAGAATATCAATCTGCCAGCCTGGGCAACAGAGCAAGATACTGTCTCTACACACACATACACCCACGCACACACACAAATTAGCTGGGTACGGTGGTGCATGCCTATAGTCTTAGCTACTCAGGAGGCTGAGGCAGGAGGACTGCTTGACCCTAGGAGTTAGAGAATGCAGTGAGCTATGATCATACCACTGTGCTCCAGAGCCTGGGCAACACAGTGACAACTTGTCTCAAAACAACAACAACAACAACAAAAACCCTAAAACCCCAATATGTTAAAGCAGTTGGTTTTAGATTGCATTAGCAGGGTCCCCCAAGAGTCTTGGGGGCATTGCTTTCCTCCAAATTAGTGAATTTTCCTTTGCAGAGGAAAGCTAATTCCTGAGGGGTATGCATTCAGTATTTTTTTTTGCTTAAGGTTTTGATTCCAAAAGAAAGTATTAGAACATTATTTTAATTTTGTAAAATATTAGTCATCCTAAATCAAACTAATAAATTTAATGATTAATCATTCTAAATTCCATATGTAGAAATCATGGGTCCTACTTCCCATGAATGTAGGTACTCACAGGAAGGTAATGGCTTGAGCAGAGTAGTGATCTTGTTATCTCATTTTAAAATAATGTATTAAGAATGTAACCAATTCTGATAACTAAGTAGCAGACATAAATAAGAAGTGAAACAAGATAGAGAATTCAATCTGCTTTTCAAAACACGATGTGAAAATACTATGATCTTTCCACTCAAATTTCACAAGCTGACATCAGTTGAGGGACAAAGATAACAAGACATACACAAGCCAATTTGCCAGGGAAAGTCTTGAATGCTTACAAAATAAGAATGGAAGAGAGATAATAGAAAGTTATGGATGACTAGAATTCAGAACACAAGAATGGCCTGTCGTCATGCAGAAGTAGCTAACTTTAGCACAACTAGCAGGTTAATATGTTTTACTTTCATCTATGATTTTCCACACCATTGTTTTAGTGTTATTCACTCATGCATTCATTCATTTAATCCAACAAATATTGACTGAGAGCTGCTACATTACAGGGGATACATGAGTAAACAAAAGTTACTCCTTTTATGAACATACATTTTAGAAGAGACAAGACAAAAATAAATGAGCAAAATGTATGGTACAGCTTATGCTAATAAATTGTAGGGTGAAAAAATTAGTGGGGATTAGAGTTTTAATTTATATAGTCAGACAAGGCCATGATGAGAAGGTAATATTTAAGCAAAGACCCACAGAGGCAAGAGAAGTGTTTGTTTTATCCTCTTCTCAAAAGTCAACAATACAACTCTCTCTTCTCTCTCTCTCTCTCTCACACACACACACACACACACACATTTTTACTAGAAGCTTTAAAGGGAATATTCTCTGGCTGGCTCTTCCTGCAAATGATTCTTGACCCTCAAACCAAGTCATCAACCACACTGAAGGAATTTATGCAGGCCCAGATATCAGCTTCAAATACTTAATTCAGACCTAGAAACAAAACAGCTCAGGAAGAAATGGGGGAAAAAATACTTTGACTTTAGGCAACACAAACCCTATCGACCTTAATTTTTCTAATACCTTAAAATGACCTTAAGGTATTGTTTCCTAAGAATACAAACTACAAGTTTGCAGAAAATAAGTTGAGGCACCATGCTGTCAAAACTAAAGCATAGGTGGCAGGTGGGGCAAGGTGGGTAATACGTCCTAGGAAGTAGGTTAACATTTTAATAGGGGTAGGCTGGATTTCAGACCTTCACGATTGCAAAACGTCTAGATAATGGGACCTATGTGCCATGACAAAACAAGTACCAGGATTATATGCAGAGAAACAGATCTTTTCAGACACGCATGTGGGTGGCTCTGAAAAGAGCCTTTTGGGATACAGCTGGCCTGAGTCCTACACACTCAAGCCCTTTCACCACGGATGCGACGCGCAAGCTGGATGTCCTTAGGCATGATAGTGACACGCTTGGCGTGGATAGCACACAGGTTGGTGTCCTCGAAAAGCCCCACCAAGTAAGCCTCACAAGCCTCCTGCAGCGCCATCACTGCTGAACTCTGGAAGCGCAGGTCGGTCTTGAAGTCCTGCGCGATTTCCCGCACCAGACGCTGAAACGGCAGCTTTCGGATCAGCAGCTCTGTAGACTTCTGGTAGCGGCGGATCTCACGCAGAGCCACGGTTCCGGGGCGATAGCGGTGGGGCTTCTTCACGCCGCCGGTGGCCGGGGCGCTCTTGCGGGCCGCCTTGGTGGCGAGCTGCTTGCGCGGCGCCTTCCCGCCGGTGGACTTGCGCGCAGTCTGCTTCGTGCGAGCCATGGTGTAAAAGCTGAATTCAAGTGTAGAGAAAAGCCTGGCCGCTTATTTATAGTAAGAGCCTGAAGCTGATTGGACAAAACTAAGCCAGCCCCCACGGTAATTGGATCGGCCAAGGATTCAAAATATGTATATATATTTTTGTTCTCCAAGTCCTCCGATATTCTAAATGGTCAATGGCCTCCATATTGCTTTTTTTCTATTCTCTGTACAGTTGTTCACTATTTACCAGAGATTTGCAGTGGAAGTAAATTTGAGCGGCATAAGTAATTTAAATGTTTCTAGGCACCACATTAGAACAAAATAAAACCAGGAAAAATTAATTTTAATAATTTGTTTAATCTAATATATCCAATATATTTCAATATGTAATCGATAAAAAATTGTTAGATATTTTACATTTTTGACACTCATCTAAATCCAACATGTATTTTATAGGTACAGCACCTGTTATTTCAGACTACCAAATTCCAATGATCACTAGCCAGTTGTTGGCAAGTGGCTTACCACATTGGACAACACAGCCCTATATCCCCTCCTCTCAAAATTTTCTATTCTTCTAAAAATTTGGAACTTTTTTTCCGCCAAGGAAATTTCTGTGTTGCATGTGAAGAATTCGAAGTCTAGTAATTTCATAAACATACCCTTACACGAACTTTTCACCTTTATATAGTATAAAAGTAATTCCATTGCAGCACATTTTTCTAATATTCTGGAAATGTAATTTCTTTGCTCTTAAAGAATCTATTCTATCAGTGCATCAAGATCTGAATTAGATTAAAAAGACGGAGTCAAATATATTTTTAAAGTAGAATTCTGCATGCTCAAAGGAATTAATGATCATCTCAACTGCATTTCATAATAAATCAACTTGTATGGTGGTAAGAAATGTAAGAAAACTCTTCAATTTTCAGTAAACTTATTGAAAACACTCCAAATAAAATAAGAAAACTCCCTGGCACCAAAAGTAACTCAATTAACTGTTCCAATTATCTCAATTATTTCCTTGACTATCACCAGGTCGAAACTGATTCAATCATCCTGGCGAATAACTAGGTTTTCTCAGACAAAAAGGATCTAGAAAATAACCAGTGGCCTAGGGTAGAGGTTTGGGCCGAACTCTGCATCCTCAGGATGTTTTTATTTGTTAAGACCTAGAAAACAAATACATCTTAAAAATTGCTGCATTTGACCCTAAAACAAATGCTCATCACAAGTTTGATTTTTAAGCTCAAAACTGGTGCCGAGGTGGTAAATTCTGATAATAAGTATAACTCCACATAGTACTTCGATAAAGCTCACTCAAGGGGAACAGCGATTAGATTAGGTTTAAGGTAAAGGCGACTCTTATCTACAAAAACTAAAGATTGCCTGCCCAAGCTGAAGGAAAACCAAGACACCTTTCTGCTTAACCGACTGAGATTGATTCATTAGCTCTTAAGTGGTTACGGAGCGTAGTGCCCAACTCTTCCCAGGAAACTGTAGGTGGCTCTGAAAAGAGCCTTTGATTTGGTTGGGTCGTTTCGAATTGCTGCAAACTAACCCAGACTTCTACTTGCCCTTGGCCTTGTGGTGGCTCTCGGTCTTCTTGGGCAGCAGCACGGCCTGGATGTTGGGCAGGACGCCGCCCTGAGCGATGGTGACTTTGCCCAGCAGCTTGTTGAGCTCCTCGTCGTTGCGGATGGCCAGCTGCAGGTGGCGCGGGATGATGCGCGTCTTCTTGTTGTCGCGAGCCGCGTTGCCCGCCAGCTCCAGGATCTCGGCGGTCAGGTACTCCAGCACCGCCGCCAGGTACACCGGGGCGCCGGCTCCGACCCGCTCGGCATAGTTGCCCTTGCGGAGCAGACGGTGCACTCGACCCACGGGGAACTGAAGGCCGGCCCGGGAAGAGCGGGTCTTCGCTTTGGCGCGAGCTTTGCCTCCCTGCTTGCCGCGGCCAGACATGCTAAGAAGCCTGTAGTTGTTGCTGATAGAGACTGAAAAGGAACTGGAAAGACGCAGACTTTATAGCCTCTACTGGGCGCGAAAAGGGAGCTGTGTGATTGGCTGATATTTGATTTCCATTTAGACCAATGGAACATGATTATGCAGGATACATATTTTGATTGGACAAAACCGGTATCTGACGTCATGGGCGTATAACCACCAATCGCCGTGGATCTCCACATAACTGCATTTGCACAAACCACTATAAATACAGGGGAGTCCACTGCCTTAGTCTTATGCTTGCTCTCTGCTTTTAGTCATGCCTGAGCCAGCCAAGTCTGCTCCTGCCCCCAAAAAGGGCTCTAAGAAAGCAGTGACCAAAGTCCAGAAGAAAGATGGCAAGAAGCGCAAGCGCAGCCGCAAGGAGAGCTACTCCGTGTACGTGTACAAGGTGCTGAAGCAGGTCCACCCGGACACCGGCATCTCCTCGAAGGCCATGGGCATCATGAATTCCTTCGTCAACGACATCTTCGAGCGCATCGCGGGCGAGGCGTCTCGCCTGGCGCATTACAACAAGCGCTCGACCATCACCTCCAGGGAGATCCAGACGGCGGTGCGCCTGCTGCTGCCGGGAGAGCTGGCCAAGCACGCCGTGTCCGAGGGCACCAAGGCTGTCACCAAGTACACCAGCTCCAAGTAAACTTCTCGTGAAGGCACTGTCAAACCCAAAGGCTCTTTTCAGAGCCACTTAACTACCTGAGAAAGAGCTGGTGCGCTTTGTCAACTCTTTGGCGGGGTTAGGTATCATAGGCAAAAAAAAGCTAGGGCTCCCTGGGTTTCCTTTAGCCACGTGAGTCCATGCTCGCTTATTGTGGCACAGCACACAAACGCGGAGACTAACGTAGTCTTTTTCAGAACTATGGGTAGCTCTGAAAAGTGCTAGTATTAATATAAATACGCCATAACCTTGGTGTAGGTAAAAGCATTGCGGATCACATCCTACAGTAGTTGAAAGCCCCCCTAGATAAGGCCACGTTTGCGCTACCACGCTGATCTAGTAGCTGGATCGCGGGCTTGGTGATACTCGACATTATTGTGGAAGACTGAGGTGACGCTCAGCTCCCCAACTCTTCACCTCTTCCAGCAACCAGACATTAAGAGTAGACAAAAAAAATTCAAAAATGTCATGGAAAATAAAATATTTGCTTTTAGTTAAATTTCTCGGACCAAATTGAAAACTAGAGACACGCAGTCCGGTAAGCATTATCTTTATAACTCCGCCCCCTTTTCCTGTTACTAACAAAGGTGGAGGAGGAGACGCTGGTTCAGGCTGCTCGCCAGGCGCCTATGCCATCTTGGATAAAGGTGAGGCTGGCGGTTCTGAGAGTTTAGCAGCTATTGGTCACTCAGTATTCTTTTTTTGCTTTCTTCTCTGCCTTTGTTTATGTATCAGAATCACATGAGATGATGTAGGTGAAGATGCATTATTACAATAATAAAGCATTTTTCTTCGAGAAAGCCAGTCAATCAATAGGGATCTGGCCCAATTCCTATTAATGGTTTTTTGCCATCCTGTTGCATTAAGGCATTAACAAAACTAGTAATATTCTGTAAATACTTTTTCCAAGTTCTGAAAGAAATAATAACTCTGTAATAGACAAGTTCAAAGTGATCAGTAAAACTTAACACTTTGCCTTCTCCTAATCTTTAATGACGTTAGTAGCAAACAAGATGCCACAGCAGTTGTGTAAATGTGTTTCTTATGTCAGCAAAGCACAACTGTATTTCCTAAACTCTTTACCACCCAGTTAACTACCATTTCATTAAGCATATTCTATTCACTACAGGCCAATTATTGTATTCTCTGAAAGGAATGGAAAGTCCTGAGTAAGAATAAGCCTCCCAAACCTTAATTCTCAGTCATTGCTGATGACCATGCAAATTGGTAGTACTTTCATGAAGAAAAATTTGGTAATACCTGTCAAAACTAAAAATGCATATATCTTTACATCCAGAAATTCCTCCGCCAGGGATTTACTATTTTTGAAAATATGCAAAATAACATGTACACAGTTTTTCAGCAGCACAATTTATAGTACATGACTGGAAGCAATGTGAATGATCAGCAATAAATTATAGTACATTAATCATCCTACCTGGTAGTAAAACCAAATAAGAAGGCTTTTTCATAATAATTTTTTATTGCTTACCATGTGTCAGATAATGTCCTAAAAAGTCCTCTATATGCATTAAATCATTTAATTTTCATAACTTTATGAGAAATCACTATTATTATTATGCTTATTTTATAGATCATAAAATGGGTATTCAGAGAGGTGGAGTAAATTGTCTGAAATCACACACTGTTGAAGTTTTCAAAATCAAAATGGAGTCCTGAATGTTTAGAAAACTCTGACAAATATTGCTGGGAAGGCTATGAAAAAAGAGTTCTCATGCTTATATGCCTGATAATAAAAATTATCACAAAAGACTGCAAAAACCACAGCCTTACACAAAAAAATACTTCTAAAGGGACATCTGCCCAACCTCAGACTGCCTATCCAACCTCAGACTGAAATCACCCTTGTTATTGATCTTTGTAGCCAAGGGTTATTATTTCAAAACACTTATGTAATCCTTCTCATTTTTTTCCTTTAAAAGCCTTCGCCTTCCTTTATCTTCCTGAATACAAATGTAGTTTACTATGGCATGTGTATTCCCATTGCAGTGCTTTATTCTCAGATAAATTTTATTGTAGAGAGCCTCTCTCTGTTTGCTATTTAGGTTGACAACAGCCAAAAAGTAGTGAAAACATGATTTAAAACCACAGTCTAGCTTCCGAATCCATACTTATAACAACTATACTATATGGCCTCTTCAGGTACTGATATGTAATGATCTCCAAAATTTATTGTCAAGTGCAAAAAAGCAAGGTACAAGATAGTGTGCAATAGAAGAGTATGTGTGTCTATAAATGTGAGATATTTCTGAAAAAAATGCTATTAATAAATAAACTGCTACCAATGGTTGCCTCTGAGGAAAGGAAGCTGGATAGCCTGGGAACAGGGACAGATGGAAAATCGTTTCATTGTAACCCTTTTATGGTCTTTGAATTTTGAATCATATGTATGTGATGTCCATCCATAAATAAATAGTATAAAGAATCCCTTCCCTGAAATATGGGTAAAACACACATTATGATAAGATAATTGTTTTAGTAGAGATGTGTATGAAAAGCCTAAGGAGCACAGAATAAATAATATTACTGATGGGGGTGGGGAGAGTGCAAAACAGCATTGTAGGCAGCTGAAGTAAGAAAAAGGTGTTACCTTCAAGGAAGCAGAAGTGTATTAAAGGGCAAGAGACTGCAGCAGTAGGCAGAGGGGAGCAGCACTGGGAACCAGGTAAGTAGTCTATGACTGAGCACTGTGTCAAGGGCTTCCTTCTATTATGAGCAGGCATCTCAAAATGATGACAGGATTCTAGATAAAAACAACTAGATATGATCTGTGAAGGGCTTATCAAGTATGATTCTGAAATACTGTATAAACAATTATAGATGCAAATCTAACATCCTATGGTTATTTAAATGAAACAGACTCTTAAGTTATTTGTTAAATTAATCTAATAGTCATAAGTTTTTCTTTCCCCTGAGTTTGTGGGAGAAAAAGAAATTACCATTAGTCCCTTTTGGAACTAGTAAAGGAAACTTCCAAGTATTTATTACCAGTTAAAAAGAGAGATGTCAAATAAAACTGTCACCATCACAGCATATGCTCAGATAAGCCAATGGATCAAAATTGCACCATGAATAGATAGTAATACACATCTGTGGAATATTCAGCAGTGTCTAGTGTTTGGACATTTTAGGAGACCCCTTTCAGTGACACTGCACATTTACATTAACTTACAACAAACAACTTGGTAGCAGTTTTGGATACTGGCATTGCTATGGTCTTAATATTCGTGTCCTCTACCCCAAATTCATATGTTGAAACCTAATCCCCAATGTGCTGATATTAAGAGGTGTGGGCTTCGGGAGATGAATCATGAATGGAGAGCCTTCGTGAATGAAATTAGTGCCCTTATAAAAAGGGAACTTGTTCACCCCTTCCTTCTACCATATAAGGTTGCAGAGAGAAGGTGCCATCTATAAAACAGAGGTGAGCCCTCACCAGACACTGAATATGTTGCTTTCTTAATCTTGGACTTCCTAGTCTCTACAACAGTAAGAAATAAATTTCTGTTGTTTATAAGCCACCTAGTGTATAGTATATTTTGTTGTAACAGCCTGAACAGACTAATATGCACAAAATTCCGTATTAGACAGGACAGAGAGAATCTAACATATTACATCACATATCCTTTGACTGCTTTTATAAAGGAGAATTGTAATTCTGTAGCTTCAGGGGAATAGGACCATGTCCTTACATTTTTTTTTTTGAAAATTATTTTGCTAATTATAGACTTCTATTTTTAAGGTTAGGTCCTGAAATTTTATTAGTAAATATTATAAGAAAGACTAGGCCTGAATGCATATTTTACACGAAGAAATAGATAAAAGGCTGAAGAGAATTTTATTTCATAACAAGAGAATAGGAAACATGTAGTATCCTTCAACAGGGCTTTATCTTCCACCCTCCAGAAGATTCTTCTTAAATATGAACATATTGGCTTATTATCAAGAATAAGAGTATTCTTTGTTGTTGTTATTTTTGTAAGTTTAGTGTAGGTACATTCCGCAACTTCTTTTACACAAGTTTTTTCTAAATTGATTTCTTTCATTATAACCTCATGTTTCCCTATAAGAACCTACTCTTCATTCTGTCTTGGGACATATTTATGAGATATGAGCTATAGCTGAATAAGCTGTAGAATTTAAGGCTGGACTCCCTTAAGCAATGTCCATTTGTGCTGCAATAACAAAATATCTGAGGCTGGGTAATTTATATAGAACAGAAATTTATTTTCTCACAGTTGTGGGGGCCAAGAGTATAAGATCAAGTTCCTGGCAGGTTTCCTGCCTAGTGAAGGCTGGTTCTCTGCTTCCAAATTGGCTGCATCCTTGGGGGAAAGGGGAGGTGGAGAAGCTGTGTAGACACATAGTGGAAAGAAGGGCCAAAGGGGACAAATTTCCTACCTCTGTCAAGGCCTTTTATAACAGCATTAATTCATTCATGAAGGCAGAGCCCTCGTGACCTAAACATATCCTAAAAGGCCTCACCTCCCAATACTGTTGCATTGGGGATTAAGTTTCCAACACATGAATTTTGGAGGAAACTTTTAGATCATAGTAAGCAAGGTCCTGCGAAGCTGACATTCTCCCCTAGCCTGCCTTCCTCTGCAAGCTTTCCATGAGCCTAGGTTGTTATAATGGAATGCTTCAAGCAGGGACTTTATCAGGATACTCACATCTGAGGAATATATTCACAGTAACAAAATTTACAAGAAATAGTAGTAAACTAGAATTCACTGTATTAATTATTGTGGAACATATGTCTGGCCTTGGAACTGACTACAAGTTATTGATCAGAAATTGTGCTTTAGTGAGCAAAGAAGTAAAGTAAATGAAGTAGCCTGATTACTAAGGAACATAATTCTGTATTGTCATTATAACTTATCTCTCTTTATTCTCTTTATTCTTGGTATAAGTATATCTTAAATAGCCACACTAGTAATCTAGAATGACTTAATTGTCTTTTGCTCGTTTTGTGCTATAGCTCATTGACAGTCATCACACTAGTTTTCCTTTGTCCAGATTCTGAGCATGCCAACTACATTTCCATGCACATAACTGTCATTAAATTATGGAAATTTCACTTTATTTTATATCATTTTACATGTGACTGGATGATTTCTTAATATCTGAGAAACATAAGAGGCTATGAAAAGCCTCATCTGTTTTATTTCTGTTCATATTATGGCCAGGTTCTATTTCTGTACTCTTTCTCCAAATTCTGGGAAAGAACCCCATTTGAGGCCTATAATACTGAATTCACAGATGATAGTCCCCCAAAATGTATTCAGATATTAGAGAGGTTAGTACAGTTCAGACTCTCAAATGTGTTGACCTGGAATCTCAATACCTGTGTGAACAATAAGACTACAGGCTCAGAATTTTAAAAAAGCATTTTGCCATTTATAAGAGCTGTGCTACAGGAAGAAAGGAAAAGAGACAAGAAGACCTGCAGGCTTAACTGAGTAGATGAGTATAACCATCCACTGTATGGCTCACAGATCTTCCTTTTCCTCTCTATGCACTGAAGGTAGGAGTTAGAACTTTTAGACCCTGGTTTCTTGGTTTTAAAAAAAAAATAACTAACAAAGCTGAAGAGCTAAAGTCATCCTCAATGAGGATGACTTTTGTGAGGTCACCACAAAGAGGCAAATGCCATTTTGGCGTCTGTTATCACATATAAGTCAGTGAAACTCATTACACTTATACCAGTTTCTGTATTAGCAAAACAGGGGTAGAAATCAGCCCAATTTTATCAGGAAGTTGTATAAATCGAATAAGACAATATGTGCAACAGGAATATAATTATATACTGTGCATTAAGGAGAAAATAATATAGAAATTATCACAAATTCCATTTATAAATCAGGAAAATGATTGTAGACCCAGTAATTTTGCCTCTGTATGAACAGTTAGTTAGCTTACTCTGTAAGTCAGTTAGCTTAAAGGAAATTCATTTATTTAGTCATAAAATATTGAGCACTTTTTATATTGCAAGCAGTATTCTAGCATCAAAGATACACAGTGAAAACAACCTGCTAAAGTTCCTGTTTTTATGGTACTTTGGTGGAAAATGAGCCAGACTGTAAAAAATAAGTTATTAGATTCCATAATATGTCATCACCTTGATAAGTGATTTGGATAAAAATACAGCAAGAAAGGAGATGGGGAATTGAGGATTGCAATTTTAAGATGGGTATACAAATGAGGTCTCAATGAGGTGTCATTGAGGAATAAAGTGGTGAGAAAATGTTGCCATGTGGAGGAAACTATTCTAGGCAGAAAGAAGTAGCAATGAATGCAAAGTCCCAGAGGCAGGCCACTGCTTAGCTTGTCCTAGGAACAGCAAGAGAAGCCATTGTGCTTGGAGCAAAGGGATCCATGGTGTGAGAAGTTTTGAGCCTCATTTGTCTGCCTCTTTTTGTCTTAGTCCAATTTAATTCCTGCATAGATCCTTGAAAATCTGAAAGTTTTCGAAATATCTGCTGAAAAACTACGCTGCAAAATAAGAAAGAGAAGATGGCCCTGCCTCTGCTGGGATGTAGATCTAGAGGAGCAAATGATATTTTTGTAAATCTATCCCTAAAGGGGCAAATTCTAACAAAGGAGTCTTGTTCCCAGTTGTACCCCCAGGACCAAGACCAGCACCTGGAACACACACTGAGTGAATGACATGCCAACAAATGTCTTATTACTGCTTGGAATAATAACAGTACATAGCACATAGAGGGTGTCTTTTGGGGGGTTTTCTTATCCCTAATCATCTATTTAATGATGTTTTACTTTTTCACATTTTATCCCACTCTTGCAAACCCCAGAGCCAACAATTTTGATAATAAACTTTTTTTTTTTCCAAACAAGTCAGTTGTCTGAGATAATAAACTTTTTTAAAGCTATATAACAATTTCTTCAATATGCCCATAAGGAGACATGAAGACTGATATTCACTAAAATTTTGTTTTTGGTGACCAAAAAAAAAAAAAAAATTGGGGATAGTTTTACTGGGCAACACTGAGAGAGTAGATAGGTAAAACTCCTGTTTCTGGAATTGTTCTGGTTATTATTACTACATAACGAGCCAGCCCAAAATTTAATGGCATAAAACAAACATGTTATGTTCCTGGATTCTGTGTTTAGGAATTAGGACAGATCGCTCCAAGATGTCTGGAACTTAGGTGGAAATTAACTGGTTTGGGATGATTACTGGGATAGTCGCTGAGGGCTGGAATCATCGGGAGGCTTCTTCATCACATATCTGGCAAAAGATGCTGGCCGCGGGGTGAGACATGTAGCCAGATGGACCTACATGTGGTCTGAGCTTCCTAATTATCGGTGGCCTCAGAGTGGTCAGACTTGTCATGTGACAGCTCAGGATTCCAAAGGTGAGTCTCTGGCATATGCGCCTGGAAGCTGTGACTTTCCTTGTCAGAATAAAAGTCAAAGTCCTAACGAGGTCCTACACAGTGTTGCCAATTGTATGGGAGAAGATGATTCAGTGGGAGGGTACAGACAAGAGGGGGTGAGGGGAAAGAATCTCACTGTTAGAAAAGGCCCCAGAAAATCCAGATGAAACATGCAAGATCATTTTGCAAAAGTTGTGCGTTCCTAATCTTTTATACAGTATTGTCTTGAGCATTGCAGGATTGCCAGGATCTCTGGTTCTGACCTATAAAAGCCAGTTGTGCCCCGGTCATTGAAACAACCAAAACATCCACTCGTTTTCAAAATACCCCTGAAAAGAGCAGTACAATTTTGTTGAAAGCCACTGTTGTAAAATATAACAATTGAACTAGTGCGTCTGGAATGAATATGTGACAAAGGAAACTTGTGAAAGGCACCTGTCAGCTGGCCCCATGGTGTAATGGTTAGCACTCTGGACTTTGAATCCAGCGATCCGAGTTCAAATCTCGGTGGGACCTACTTAGGTTTTGCTTTTGTTTTTCTGTTTTGTTTTGTTTTTAAAATATAACCTCTCCCTGCAATTTTGTCTCTTAAAACTAGGGTGTTTCATTGTAATTCAGCCCATCACAGGTCCTGGTATCTGACTAGCAGTAATATCTTTATCAGTCCTCAGAAGTTGAGCCCACCTACTGAAGCAAGCCCATACACAGAAATCAACACTGCAAAAAACAGTCTTAATCCTGTGACCTATGCCCAGATACAGATGGAGAGGGACGTTTCTCAGGTGACTCCCCTTTGCTGGATGCCTAGAAAGGAATATGTGTGTGCATACAATAGAAACATCTGTTTTTAAAAGAATAGCCATGTTACTCTATAACTAGAAAAAGGTGTCTAAACTGATAAGTTTTATTTTATTTGAAGGTGATAAACTTGGAGTGGTGTTGTTTCACTCTTTTTCCTGGAATGCTCTGAATGAGAACAGGATTCCAGCCCACATAGGAAGAGCACAATAGTCAGGCCATGTTATCCTATAATAGCTGCAAATTTTTTAGGTTCTTTCTTAGACTTTTTTTGGTAAAGCTTCTGCACTTTGATTAAGCTGATACGTGTGGTACTGTTCTTCAAACTGCTGGTAGCAACACATGAATGTGCAGTCCTTGCTATCACCTCAGAGATTCTCACACAAGTCCATTTCCCTTTGTTTGTGGCAGCTTGTTTACATTGTAATGATTGCTGCCCTGACCTGCACACATCTCCAGCCTCATTTGTCACCATACCTGCAGCACACATAGCCCAGAATTAGCTTCTAGTCACCAGGAATAGTAACATTATTTAGATTCCTTATTGCCCCCCCCCTTTCTCATTTTCTACCTGCAGAACATTTTTGGCCTTCCCTCTACCCTCATGTTAGGAGGGCTAGTTGTTTACTCATTCCTCAAGTATTAACTTAAACATTCCAGACCTTCTTACTGAGGCCTTCCCTGGCCTCCCTTTATTGGGGCTTAGGTGCCCTATCTATATCTCCTTGGCACTCTAAATCCTCTTCCCACACCACCTCATATTTTAATTGCTTGTTTAATAAGCTCTCCCTCCTGATCTAGGCAGCTAGTTCCCCTAGGGAAGGGACCAGTCCTGTGGTCTTATTTGCCTCTCAGGTCTCAGCCTCACCTGGCTCATGTTAGTTCAAAAATACTTGCTGAGTCATGACCTTTCATCTAATCTGGTTTGATCATTCCAGAACCTAGGATAGTTCATGTCCATGATTTGTTCCAAATCTTTCTGCTCTGCTCAGATTTCTTTTCATTTTTTTTCATTTCTTTTCATTCTTTTTCCTTCACTGATCCCAAGTCTACATCCACTCTAAGAACAAGTCTTTGCCCAAGACTGGAGCAGAATTTTCCCTGGAGATGAATTTCAACCATGACTCTGTCTTAATGATGCCACCCAGTCAGTAGGTAAAGGGGGGAAAGGGAGGTGTGTGATTGGATCACTATATTCTTCACATTTTGGAGGAGAATTCACTTCACAAGAAAGGCTCCTATCACAATATTCTTGGCCAGTGGTCCTTGAGGTCACTTCCGGCCTAAGTTCGGTTATCTCTTGGTTATAAGGAGGCCAGGACCTGTCACAGGCTTAGCCCCTGTAAGGCACTAATTACACGTTTGTGATTATTTGAAGTTTTTTTATTGCTGCACAGTAAGCAAGGATTTAGGCTAAAGGTGCTCCTGTGCCCTTACTGAGGGTGCAGGAAGGAGACGTGGCCTCTGAAGCCCGCACTTACTCTTTCCCTGGTCAGTAGGGAGCTGACACCTAGGATATGGCCTTGGAGAAGCACAGATGTATTCTCTCTGCTACTCCCAAGCCACTGCTGAAGTCAGGGGTATCGTTCTGCACTTGATGCACCTTTGTAAACCTCTCAGGAACCTCCTCATGGACAAGGCCATTGGAACTATTTCCCTCTTTGGCATTGGAAAATGTGATTGAACTAGTGTATTGGAGACTGGCTGGTTATGTTCAACGGCAAGAAATCTACGGGGCTTTCCCAGCGCAGATTAGAAACCGTCCCCTTTTTAAGGACCTTTTCCTTGTCTCCATCAGAGTTTGAAAGTTTGGAATCTCTCGTGGAGGATTTTTACCCTCTCTCACGAGGGTTTCCTACTCCCTCCATGCAAACAAGGGACTGACCTTAACCATGATCGATCTGTTCTAGGTTTGAGGAAAACTCCCAATCCAGCTTTCCAGAAAATACTGAATTTAAAGACTTTGTCCAGCGATAGCCACTTGCAAAAATTCCGTTGCAAAAGGATCCAACAGGAAGCCTCTTGCCGGTTTTCTACAGGAGTTACTGCGTTGCTGTTTTGTTGTTCGTTCGTTTGGGGGTGGAGGGAGGTTGTTCTTTGTCATCCACAAGAGGGCGCGCGCAGTCCTCGAGTTTCCTCAGAATTTCCTCTCTTTAAAATCTGAAGTCCTGGAAGACAGCCACAATCACGAAGCCAAGAAATTCAATTTCCACTAAGCACCCCCTCGCTGGACAGGCACCGAATCCCGCTAAACTACTTTGAGCAGAGCCAGACTCCCTTCTATCACTAAGGAAAGTGCTGAAACTCTCTCTTCTACATTTGTGCTGAATATTGTCGCGCTTCCAGGCAACTAAAAGCCAGCGGGAGGAGTTTGCGAAGGCGCTGGGAGGGAAGGGTGCGACTCGGAACACGCAGAGAACTGTCACCGAAAGCTCGGGGGAGGGGAAGAAAGGGCGCGTTCCCACAGTATGGGCTCCTGTGTGAGTGCGGGAATCGTTTTACCGCCGTTTTGAGTCTCCCCTGTGGACTCTGGTGAAAGAGCAGGAGGACGGTGGGGCTGCGCGCCGTCCCGGGACACTCCGCGGCCTTCCTTTCCCCGGCCCTCCGCCCCCGGGGTTGCTCCCGGGGCTGCTGGGATCTTCCTCCCGCCTCGTCGTCCAAGTACACTTGTTTTCAGTTTTCCATAAACATCAACGTCTCCCCTGTGACTTTGCCGAAACCTTCGATACGCGTCCTCGAAAGCGCCAGACACCACCCTAGTAAAGGACGGCTGTTGTGAAAGCATTAGGATCTGACAACGAAACGGAGTGAAAGATCTCAGGCCTCTCACACGCTCCTCGCCTGTAAAATAGCGCCAACGGCCCCCATCCCACAGGGTTGCTGTGAGCCTTACTTAGATGAGGTAACAATACAAAACGCTTGTCACAAAACCTGACCCAGGATTAGGGCTGTTTTGGTCAAAGACTTCATGTGTGTTTGTTTTCCAGTGAAGAAATAGAGGCCCGACGAACCAAGTTTCTGAACCACTTGGAAGGAAAGGCTTGGGAGGAAAGGGGTGCGGAGGGGTTCTGAAATTAAAAGTCAATGGTTTCCTAAATTGAGACTCTAGTGTAAAGGATGCTGGGTGCAGTCATACCAGGTAAGCATCCATGATTTATTCGTATAGAAGAAAACCAGAATGTGCGTTTACCTGTCCTACAAATCAGGCAGTTTAGGGAGGAAACTAGGTCATCAAAATATTTAGGGAAGAAGGGAAGAAGAAGACATCAATGGCAGAGTGGGGGCCCCATGGTGTAATGGTCAGCACTCTGGACTCTGAATCCAGCAATCCGAGTTCAAATCTCGGTGGGACCTCAAACTAGACTTTTAGTTTGATTCCTGTGACCTCTCCAAAAACTTCTGGTTATTTTGCCATTCACTTCATCCTGGAGAAGTTTTTATACACGGGCACATGAGCTAAATGGCAGGGGAAAGACCTATCCCCTACATTAAGTGATATATTTTGGACACAATTTTATTTTTTAAATACTGTATAAGTATTTATCAAAAATTATGTATTCTTTTTATTGATTGCATACTACTATTAAATTTAAAAACAACTGAAACCAGAGGAAAAACACTTAAAATACAGAGAATTACTGGTAATAACTAAAATTCATCTCTCAACTTTTATATATTTTTCTATTTCAGAGGAGTATATGATACAGTGATCAGTCACAACCTTTAAGAATAAATATGTAACATAGCGGGACAAAATTCTGTGGCAGATATGGAAAAAGAGAAAATGGATTCATGTACATTTTTTGACTGTTAAATAAACTATGCCAAGTGTATTTTTAAAGGATTCTAGTACATGTCAAATTTTTAGTTTTTAGGTTTCAATGGACAAAATTCATTGATCAGCCAGACTCTTCTAATGTTCACATTTTACCAGATGCTGGCAATTATATTCTTTGGAATGATTTAAATTTATGAAAAAACATTTTAGAAGACCACTGGAAAACAACACGTGAGAGCACAAAAATATTGTTACAATTCACAAAGATTCTAAGGGATTAAAATAGCTTGAAGATGCTGTTCTTGATTAAAACAATAAAATGATAGAAAAAAGCAAGTCCCTCCTCATCATCTCATGCTGAAACTCTTTCATTTTTATTTTTCAAGTGGTTTTTTCTCTCTTCTGTGAATTTCCCATTTGTGTACATTTGCTTTAAAATGGTTTGTATTTGTATTATGATTTTGTAAGCATTGAAGCATATTTTTATTAAGCCTTTGTTACTCAAATATGTATTTTTTTAACAGTTTCCAAATCAGTATTTTTTCTTATGAGTTCCCTTATTAATTTCAACTACATGTTTTGTTGTTTTATGTTTTATATTAAAATCACTAATTTATCTGTAACTTGATTTTTTACACAGTTGAGAGGTCTATCTTTGGTTTTTTCCATAGGCAAAGTTATTTGTGTCATCACAATGTATTTTAAAATCACCTTTGCCTACTGAAATGAATTATTAAATTTGTGATATGTTAATTCCCATATATCCTTGTATACATTTTTTTAATTTATCCATTTCCCTCTATATATACTTACAATAATGCTAAGATCTTTTGATTAGATTTTCTCTTTATACATTTTACTTCCCCAGAGCATTCTTCCCTTATGGTATTTGACATTTTTAGGCACAGAGAAATAAGGAGATAAAGAGGAAGAGGCTGGAAACTCAAATATTTCATTTTGTAATTTCTGGCTTCTAGTAAAGAACCAAGAACAAATTAGGCTGCTAATGAGCACACATATGAACCAGTAGCCTGGAGTACAGAGATCTCAGGAGCTGGATTCCAGTCCTTTGGACCTCTGTTTAATTACCTTACTCACAGTAAAGATGTTAGTGCCATTAAGCACAGTATAGTTTCCTTGGTGAACCCTGCAGGCTTTGAAGAGATCCAGAAAATAACAATAGGTTATAAAAGGGCTTCGGCATTTGTTTGAGATATTTGAAATAAATATCTCAAATAAAGCTCAGAGTTTGCATAAATGAAAACAAGGATCAATGTCTGAGAGACATCTTTTGATTTTCATAATCCACACCTCAAGGGCAAGCTGATCCCTATTTTTCTCTCTTCCACTATTCCCCTTTCCTTTTTTATTTCTCCCACTAGCTCAGTTTTTATTTTTATTATTCTCTTTCCTGCCTATATATAAACTAAACCAATAACAAGTATTGTCTCTGTGCTGTTTTTAAGATAAATTAAAGGGCTGCACTTAAGGTTTGCAACTGTCAAAAGCACTTTAATCACAACAAACTTGTTTATAACTGGTTGCAGCAAAAGACTAAATGGAAGTTTCAAATCCTGAATTTACACTTATGTGTTTATAATATTTATAAATCAAAGAAGTTATGTGGGGAAAGTTCATTCTAAGCTGTGATACATCTGAAGTGATGACAAAAAGTACAATTAATAAATGACCACCATTGTTTTCTCTACCAATTTGTTTTAGAAACCCTGGTGCCATTTAGAAACCTCCATGATCCTGATTGATAAAACTGTTTCTACAGAAAACAATTTGACAACAAGGTAATTCCTCTAATTTTACAGTGAATCACAAGCAAATGCAGCAAAAAAAAAAAAATTATCACTGGTGGAAGAATAGCTCAATCAAATTAACTTTATGTGGGACGGCTATTTCAACAGGAGTAGTTTTTAATCAGACTCTTCAATGAGTTTCCTAGTTCCTATAGGACGGCTATTTCAACAGGAGTAGTTTTTAATCAGACTCTTCAATGAGTTTCCTAGTTCCTATATTTCATCTTCTTTTAAGCATGCGAATGGAATTGATACCACCATAACTGATTTTTTATAAAGCTTTTAGGTCCTTGGAGGTTGCATCATGGTTTACATTTAATTATAAACTGATTTATTTCCTAAAGGGAGAGCTTTTCCTGATTTTATCTTTTTTCTGCTCAATCATTAAAAACAAAAACAAAAACCTGGGTGCTGGGGGATGTAGTTTGCTTGCACAAAGGCTCACCACCTGCTAGACTCAGATTAATGGGCAAAAATAAAGCTCTTTGCAAATTTTAGGCTTTCTGTATGAGGTTTGCCCCAAATAGAAACACAAGCTTGAGAAAGTCTTTGATTTTGTCCTCATCTGAACAGCACAGGTGGGAATGTTCTCCCTTCATTGAGTTTCTCTGCAGACCAAACCCAAACCCAGGGTTGTTAAGAACTGTTCATGACCTGCATTGTGAGGGTAAGAAATAGACAGGGGAGAGTGAAAATTCTCCTCCTGGAATTCCACTGTCAAACCCTAGAGGCAGCAAGGAAATGATCCTAACAAATGGGAAGATTTCAAACTTGGGAGGGGAGACCCCATTATGCTTCTTTTCTACTGCCATGAAGCTACGAAAAATCTTTTCCAACATCAAGGGTGAAAATCGCCCCAGCTGGTGTGACCTGGGGAAGTAAAAGTCAGTTTCCCAAAGGCAGCCTGCTCAAGAAATGTGCCCTATGATTTGGCAAGCAACAGCTTGCAGAGAGACTACTACCGTGTTTCCCCGAAAATCAGAGAGGGTCTTATGTTTATTTTCCCTCAAGAAGACACCCTAGGGCTTATTTTCAGGGGATTTTTTTTTTTTAAGTACGGTACAACAATCTACATTTATTCAAATATAGTTAAGTTGCCTTCTTTTGGAACATCATCATAACTCTCCAAACCCCGAATTCCATCCTGAATTTTTTGCGACTCTATTTCCTTTAGAACCATTGGCCCCAATCTCTCATGTTGAGCAACAGAGCTCTCATGCGGCAGATGAGAAGGGCTGCTCATCTTCTTTATTGCTGGGCGACGAAATGCATGGGTTGGTTGTGCAGATACGCTGAGTAGTTATGCCCATCACTAGGTCTTACTTTCAGGATAGGGCTTATATTGTGCAAATGCTTAGAAATCCTGCTAGGGCTTATTTTATAGGTAGATCTTATTTTCGTGGAAACACGGTACTTGCACCACTAGGGCCGTGTACCCTTCCAGCCCCTTGCCAGACTCAACCTTGAGCAAAGCAGCAATGAGGGCAGTGGAAAGAAGCCTTTCTGAGAAGCGGAAAGGAGTCAAGGTCTCTGAGAAGACAAGCCCTCCTTTGTGGAGCCTGGATAATGCTGGCAAATGGTGAGCAAGTTTAGCAGTATAAATCTTTTCTTATTGTGGTTGTGGAGCAAGTTTAGCAGTATAAATCTCAAAATGTTCCATTCATTTCCACAAAGTTTTAGTAACTCCTTCCACTGAAGCAGAAGATGAGGCCTCTGCAATGAACAGCTATATGTACACTACTAAGCACAGGACAAGTGTGGATCTCTTTCTCCAGAGGCCACTGGTCAAGAATACAGTTAATTGGAATCTTTTTGTCCAAGGTGAATTCAATCCCCACCATGGTCTCTCTCTTTCAGTGGCTTCACAGCGCTTCAGTTTTAAATATGGTTAAGCATGTGCCCTTAAAAAGCAAGCAGACTTGGAATTGTAAAGAAGGAAGAATGACAAGAAGAAATTTAGGAACAACCAGAGCAGACAGATTTGGGACAAAAGGTGAAACAGAGCTATCCTGGGTTCTGGTGAAAATCAAAACAGAGTAAATTTAAGTTATGCTCCCAGCAAGTGTTTATGAACTTTTATCCTGACTTAGACACTGTGTTAGGCAGTGGGGACTCTAAGGAGTACAAGGCCTCAGGATTAGTCCCTACCCTGGGAGGACTTGCTAGAGGTAGGAGAGAGATATTATTAAACAAGCCACTAAAATATGTGGTGGTATGATAAAAGCAATTTGGGTGCTAAGGAAACAGATGGGGCAGCTAAGCCAAAGGAAGCCAGGGAAGGCTCAGGAAGAAGAGCCATAAAGTCTAAGTGAAATCTGAGGCAGGTGAAGTGAGGGCAATGTAGAAGGCTAAAGAGTGTTGTGGGTCGAAAATGAGAAGAATGAGAATGTGGAGCTTGGGAAGAAAAGAATTTCACCATAACTAGTGCTTGGAAAACAAGTGTGAGGACTGAGGGTAGAGATGTGGCAGGCTAGAGCAGCACTGACAAAGTGTGGAGGGCTCCCTGGAGACTTCTCTTATTTACCAGTCTGTACTCAATATTCTCTTAAGCAAGATTCCTCCTTTTTTTCCATTTACTTAAATATCTATCATTGATATGGACTCATGGAATCTTTTATCCCCAATTGCTCATAATTCATTATTGTCCTTAATTATCTTGGTGTTCAAATTCACCCATATTTAACCAGGGAGAGCCCCTTTATGCTGGTGTCTGGGTCCTTGTAACATGCCACTATCAGAAGCACCTTCTTACTTTCTGGCATAACAAATTGTTTCAGGCTTGACTTGCATCAACCCTGCCCCAGCCCAAAATTTAGCCATTTCTCAAAGAAGCCTTGTTTCCTTTCAGTGAGGAAGAGTATTGGAGAGCAATATTAAGGGGCTTAGTGTACATATGGCTTCTCCGATGTCTGTTTCTTGGTCCTTTTAATGGAAAGACCTAGGAAATGCATGTGCATGTATACACACATAGTCGCATATACTTGCACATGTGCCAATATATACATACATGTGCATATATACATGCCCATACACATACATATACATATTTTAGAAATCATGAGTTCATACTCATACCTTCAACTTCAGTCCATCTCTGTGGGATTCTTACTTGCATTCCCTCATTCTGTATTTGTATGTGCCCCTTCCTCCACACCGAAACCCCTACTTCCAACAATACTGACATATTTACTCCCTTGCTTTATCCTATAATACACCTACAATAGTTTCAGAATTCCTTTACCCATCCATTACCAATAATTATCCACTAAAAAGAGTTAAAGATTTGTTTGCTGTTCTTCCCCTCTTCCCCAGCCATCCTCATTCTCTTGGCCAATGGTAAAGGTGTATGGTCAAATGCCTTGTTCACAAATTATGTTCTTTTCTTTTCCATGTAGTCTTGATAGGAAATACAATAAAGTTCATTTGCCTTGGTTTTCTGTCAGTTTCAGGGTGTTTTTCCCCCTCTACTTCTCATTCTTATTGATTTAATATTAATTTTTGAAAATGTAGAACATTCACATGCTTTCAAAAGCTAACGATATACCAAAAAGTATACTCAGAGAAGTGTCCTTCCCATATCCCTTGTACTCCATTGCCCCCAAAACTCTTACCACCCTTTTAGGTAACCACATTTACTATTTTCTGGTTTATCTTTGCTATGGTTTATTTTCAGAAAGAAAAACAGATATGTTTTCCTAATTCATTTTCTTTCTTGAAAAAAGAAGTAACATACTATAATACTTATCTGCACTTTTTTTTAGTTAACAATATACATATCTTTTTTTGTAGCTGCATAGCACTTCTTCTTTGAGTCCATATGTCACAGTTTATTCAACCAATCTCCTATGCCTAAACATTTAAAGTTAGTTAAAATGGTTTTAGAGAGTAAGCAAGCAAAATAACTTGAAGATTAGCAGTCTCAGGGACCTCCAAACAAGAACATCTTCACTAGCAAAGTAAAGGAACAAAACAGGCCCATCACATGCACATTTTTATTAATATTTTTCCTTTTAATATTTTGTTCTGCAAATTACCATTGTTTAGGGGAGTTTATATTTTCTTATCATACGATAGGTACTCATTAAAAAGTATTTTGATTAGTAATTTTCTCTCAATTTCTTTTTTTTTTTTGAGACAGAGTCTCACTTTGTTGCCCAGGTGAGTGCCAAGGTGTCAGCCTAGCTCACAGCAACCTCAATCTCCTAGTCTCAAGCAATCCTACTGCCTCAGCCTCCCGAGTAGCTGGGACTACAGGCATGCGCCACCATGCCCGGATAATTTTTTGTATATATATTTTTAGTTGGTCGATTAATTTCTTTCTATTTTTGGTAGAGAAGGGGTCTCGCTCAGGCTGGTTTTGAACTCCTTACCTCCAGCAATCGGGCCGCCTCAGCCTCCCAGAGAGCTAAGATTACAGGCATGAGCCACCGCGCCTAGCCTCTCCCAAATTTCTTTTGCAAATATATCAGTAATACTTCTATTTTTCTCTTGAGTTTGTCCATGGAATTCTGATGCACAAAATGTTTTATTTTAATGTATTCCAATGGTTTCTACCTTTCGCATTTAACTTTTTTACTCCTTTTTTTTCTCATAACATTCCATGAATCTAGTTTACATAAGTATGTAGAGGGGAGGATATAAAATATGTTTTCCTGGCCATTGTAACATTAATTGCTTTGGAGAAGAATTCACAGCATATGAAACAAATTTAATAAATCATGCACAAGAATCAGGAATGAACAGAAGAGTGAAAGGAGCAGCAGACTCCCATAAGAGTAAAAAGGCAATATAGATTTAGAGTAACCAATGGTCTCAAGCATAAGTCAGTAACTTTTTTTCCTTTGAGTGCAAGAAAATGGAAAATCATATTCTACTTCAGTATATTCAAAGATGGAAGGCTAATTTGTTGGAAGTAAATGTGGAATTTGCCCCTCCTCTTTCCAAGTAAGATGTGACACTCATTGGAAATGAATAAGAAGGGAGTTGTGCAAACTTTTGGAGAAAAGAGAAAAAGCCTCCGTAATTTTAAGAGCTCATCAAATACAATCTTCAGAAGCCATCTTCTCCTTGCGACTGCGGAAGGTAACTAAAAAACCTGGATAGCAGAGGATGGTTTCGATCCATCGACCTCTGGGTTATGGGCCCAGCACGCTTCCGCTGCGCCACTCTGCTTGGGGAGTAGAGGAGCAATTCTTCTTGTTTATCATGTAAATGATCAGCCATACTGTCAGAATAAATATTTTGTGTTTTTCTGTTTTCCTTTTGCTCTTTCTTCTTTATATTTTCCCCTCTCTTCTCTCGGGCTCTCTAAAATTGACTCCTGAACCAGATGACTCCGGCAGCTTCCTCCAAGTTGCAAGTTGCACTTTCCCAATATGCCAAAGACGCTTCAAACTGACATGTTCTCTTCAAGGGCTGCTTTAAGCTCAGAGGAGAAATTCCAGAGCAAGTGGAGCAAAGTCCTCATAAGCCCTTGCTCAGAGAGAATCGAGGAAGGCATAAAGTCAAACTTACTATCCTTAGGTAGGATGTATATGAACCAGTTCATTCCGTTTCCCTTCCCCAGGAAAAATTTCTTTCACAACACTAGAAGCATTTCTGCTTACTGAACTAACGCCATTTGCAGCTTCCCCTGCACCTGGTCTACCCTCGCCGGCCTCTAACCTTGGATTCCTGAAAAGGGGCTTCCTATCCTACTCCTTTGAGGTCATGTCTGTGGACAGCTTTCTCTCACCTTCAGCGAATGTGTGTTCTCTCAGACCAATGACCTGGACAGAGATCTATGATACTCTTATTCTGTGCTCTGTCGGCAAAGTCATTTCCACAGCTTTCCTCTTGCTCTTTTCACCAACGTTCCAGTCTTTTCTGGGTTTCTCTGTCTTCGTTAAGAAGTCTTGTTTTTCTAGTCCCAGGCATGGGGTTGGTGGCCATTAATTTCCAGCAACTCCATTTGAGTTTTCTCTTTTCCTTCTCTAAAGTAATGAGTTGATAACACTGACACAAATATATTGTGGTTAGGAAGATGTTCCAGAACAGGAGCTGGAATGATTCACGTAGACGAAATGGAACCTGAGCAAAACTGAACCAGATCCCATCAGGACTATACCTGGGACCACTAGACTTGGAATCCTGGACATTAACCATCACAGCAAGGAACTGCCACTTACCCTAGACGGATGAGATTTATTACCTTCCCTGTTTGCCCAGATTCCTAGCAATAGACTCAGGAGGCTGCCAACTAGGTGCCTGACCCCAACCTCCCTCAGACAAGAATCTGAGTGGAAAAACGTTTTTATACTCAAAACCGAGGCCTCTTCTCTCCCCTCCCCTCCACCAAGGTGTTTCCGCTTTTCCTCTCAAAAGGAGTTTGGGGCTGTGGCACCTGGCCCTCCTCTCTCCACTGAAAAAGGAAGGAGGAGGAGATTGAGCGTTTGCCAAGCGATAAGTGGACCTCACTTCCCGCTCAACTCAATAAAATGTGACGAGGCTGTCTTTGTCTTACAGGGGAAGAGACTGAGGCGTTTATCTAAAAGGCTGGTGGCGGCCCCCTCCCTTCCCTAGATCAAAAAAGAAAAGGCTCATGAGACAAGACCCGCCAAAGACAAAACTGCCAGGCCCCGCAGAGAGGAACCACACCCAGAAGTCCACCAGGATAAGAATGTTTCGCCTCCTGGATTCCACAAATACCTCCAGCCCCTCCTAAAATCCCTGGCTTTTCCCGCCAAAAGTCCCTAGCCCTGCCCAAAGGGTATAAAAGGCCTCAGCCCCTTCAAACGGCGGCGACTTCTGGGTCCCCCCTCTCTTGGG